AGGTACTGTTCAAAACAGGAATACATGAGTTTTTTTGTTTACACAGCATCAACAATATTGCAGGCATTAAACAGTAATCAGTAACTTTACAGTACACTACTTTTGCTTTCTCTTCTCAACCTGCCTTTCATCAATTAGAGAAAAACTCAGCCCAATATTCTCACAACAATGGGTTTCTGTTGGTGACAGTTTGATGCTCAAACACTTGCTTTACTGTGTCTGTATATAGGAGCAATTATCATGGTACAGTAAAAGGTTCTTTACTTTTTTTTTCTTTTTATGTGTGTAGGACTTGATCATATTAAAAGCATATGGTTCTCAAATATATTCCATTCACATGAGCAGTTATGGGATTATGAATATTATGGGAAGCCTGGTATTCAGAACTTTTATCACTCAACTGYCCTCTAATTCTGGAGCTACTGCACCATATACAGTTTGACAGAGCCTGACTGCAGTGTTTCTTTTCCAAATCTTCAAAAATACCACAAGCTATAGTCATTCCTCATTGCTTATTACTTCCACTGTCATTATCAGATAATAGCAAACTTGAGTAAGGACACGTGTATCTGCCAGAACTAAGTCTCTGACATGAGTTAAGATATTGTGATATGAAAGAAATTATTAAACAAGGATTAGTGTCAAGTCTTTAGGAATCAACTTATTTGAAGGTAGGTTTCTTCCACACTAAATAATTTTACAGATTTRTTAAAATCAGAGAGTTGCACACACTTTGAGAATGCAGCCAGATGAAAACTACAAGACAGATTGAGCTCCAGGGACCAACCAACCCCTTTCCAAGCTTTGCACTACTAAGGCAAAGACAACAACCTCTGGAGATGAATGAACAAAAYGTCAGTGGTTGCATTTATCTCCTGCAACTAAACCTGACAGACTGAAAATCTAAGCACTCAAAAGACAGCACATTTTACTTATTCAAATATCTAAAAGTCAGATTCTCACCTACTGAAACCAGCAGTTCTGGTTTAGTTATGCAGGAGTTATTCAACCACAAGTCTGCCTCAAAACTACATTAGCAGATACATTTTTAGTGCAATGAAAATCTTCCAAAAACAAGACGAGGGGTAGACAGTCACTTTTCCTACTAATTCAAGTCATCCTGTGCATGCATTGTTAGTGTACAATTACACAGGAACAACCCCCAGGGTACCCAAAACCTCACACAGGTTGCTGCACCCAAGAAAAGGGTGCTGGGCCTGAACAGACACTATGCCTTTCCCAGCCTTCTCAGTTCCAGCTCTACTCACAGACCAGGCAGCTGAAATGGTTCCTATTCTGCTATGGCTGAATAAATGAGACGCTGGTATATTTCCACAGGTTGTGTCTGGTGCCACTTAGGTACTCCACAAGGAATAAAAATGCAGCAATCAGTGTTTTATTGGTGTRGGGCCTAACAGACTGAATAATCTCTCTTGTAAACTAAATTGCATTTCTTCCACAAATGTTCCTTGACTTTTAAGTTAAATACTACAAGAACATTCATTAATAGTGTCTCCCAGAAATACAGGCATTTTAAATGTCTTCCTTTCTATGCAGCTTGGCAAACAGTCTTTAAATTTTCCTGGACTGGTGCCAATTAAACTCACACGGTCTAGTGAAGGTCATAGAGAAATCACGTTTTCTGCAGATCTGTGTGCCCAAGCAGCCATGGCAGTCTTGAGCCATTTCACCATTTCACCAAAACACATCTTTGTTTTCCACTGATTTCCTGAGTGTATTYCAACAATACCTAAAATTTAATTTTTGCGCCTCCTAAAGACAAAGTATTCAAAGGTGATTAATTTACTTCATATATTTTTAACCTGAAATGTACATTATTATCTCCTACACAGATATCCACAAAAGGAAACCACTCCACTGTACATATTCTCCCTTTAGCTTATGTCAAGTCAACAGTTATGAAGTTAGAAGTACATTCTATTCTCAAGCTTATTTATAAATTCTAACACATTAAAACATGAAAGTAGATATTTTTCTAGACATGTTACTTTGAACTCTCAAGCCAGGATTTTCCCTTTGATTGCGTACCTACAATCACAGACTTCATCTTAGCTTTATGAAAATATTAGTTCACCTGAGACCTAATGTGGGTATTCCACGTAGTAAAAACATTGTTCATAAGCACATTGACAGCTTGTGCCTGCCATGCAAGATGACTTGTGCCACACTTGTGCCTTAAATCTAACCTTCCTGAGGCACTCAATTTGCCCCACAACACCAACAGCACAAGCCCAGGGAAGGCCAGGGCAGGCTTAAGGCACACTTGCTGGGCTTTTTGCACAGTATTAAGTAATTTTGTCAGAGTTAGTAGAAATGAGATACAAAAGGGAAGGCTGGATTTAATTCTGGACAAGGACGGCAACAACAAGAAGAAAAGCATCTTCAAATACATCAATAACAAAAGGAAAACTAAGAAGATACWGAGATGGCATCTTTCCATACACCTTTCCACTGCTCTTCACTGGCAAGACCAGCCTTCAGGGATCTCTGAGCCAGGTGACAGGATAAATGAATGTTGGAAGGAAGACTTTTCTTAGTCAAGGATTGGGTTAGAGAATACTCAGGCAAACCTGACAATCACAAGTCCATGGGCCCTGACAGGATACACATGGGAGTGCTGAGAAAGCTGATGGACATCACAGTCATGCTCCTTATGATCATCTTTGAAAGGTCATGGAGATCAGGATTGGTGCCTGAGGACTGAGGAAATCTGCAAATGTCACCCCAGTCTTCAAACACAGCAAGAAGGTGGATGCAGGAAACTAAAAGCCAGWCAGGCTSRCCTCAGTCCCTGGAAAGGTRATGGAGCACMTCATTCTGGAGGCCACCTTTATCCACAGGGAGGACAAGAAAATGACCAGGATAGTCATGGATTCATCAAAAGGCAAATCATGCTTGACTAAACTGATTGCCTTCTACAACAAAACAGCTACCTGGATGGACAAGGGGACAGCAGAAGATCTTGTCTACCTCAAMTTTAAGGCTTTTGACACTGTCTCTTACCAACGTCCTCATAGGCAAACTCAGGAAGAGAGGACTGGATGAGTGGACAGGGAGGTGGATTGAGAACTGGCTGGACAGCAGATCCCAGAGGTCATCAGTGGCACAGGGTCAGGTTGGAGTCCTGTCCCTGGTGGWGTCTCCYGAGGTTCAKKAGCAGGCCCAGTGTTGTTTAACTGATCCAYCAATGACTCGGGTGAAGGGCAGAGGCCTCCTCARCAATTTCACTGACAGCACAAAGCTGGGAGCAGTGGCCGATAGCCCAGAGGGCTGTGCAGCCCTTCAGAAGGACCTGGACGGGCTGGAGAGATGGGCAGAGAGGAACCTCCTGAAACTGAGCAAAGGCAAATGCAGGAACCTGTGCTGGGGAAAAATAATCCCCATGCAACAGCACAGGCCGGAGCCAACTGCTGGGAAGCAGCTTTGCGGAGAAACTGAAGTCCTGGTGGACAACAAGCTCTCGTGAGCCAGCAGTGTGTCCTTACAGCCAAGCAGGCCGATGGTATCCTGGGCTGCACTTGGAAGAGCATTGCCAGCAGGTCACAGGAAGTGATCCTGCCCCTCTACTCGGTGCTGCTGAGGCCTCATTTGGTGTGCTCTCACAGAGAGACTGGCAGCTCCTGAAGATGTTCAGCAGGGAATTACTGAATTGATCAAGAGTCTGGAGCCTCTTACTAATGAAGAAAGGCTGAGGGAGCTGTGCACATTCAGCCTCAAGAAGGGATGACTGAGCAAGCAACTCATCAGTGTCRGTAGGTAACTGAAGGAAGGGTGCCAAGGGGATGGAGCCAGGCTTTTCAGTGGTGCCCAGAAATAAGAGAGGCGATGGGCAGAAACGGGGCACAGAAAGTTCCATCTGAACGTGAGGAAGAATTTTTCCCTGTGCAGGTGACCACACACTGGAATAKGCTACCCAGAGTGGTTGTGGAGTCTCCCTTGAAGGAAATAATCAAGAACCTTCAGGACACAATCCTGTGCCATGTGCTCCAGTATAGCTCTGCTGGAACCAGAATGTTGAACCAGATCACCCACTGGTCCCTTCCAACATTACTCATTAAGCAGCTCTGTGGCTTTCCTGTGGAGACAAACCAGCCTGGGGTGCTGCTGATGAGCCAGCAGCTCAAAACCACTTGYTTGTTGCTTAAGATGTAAAACAACAGATGGAAATGCCAGCTAATCACTTCAGAAGTTCATATTAATAGAGCAATCCTGAGACCAGCATCAGTATTTGGACTACCGCCTGCTTCCACGAGTCACCGGGGAAATGCACTGAGAGAAAGCAGGGCCCTGGCCACCGCCACCTTCCCCGCAGGGGCCGCGTCTGTGTGAAACCGCCTATCTCCTGTACCCCCGTATAAAACATTAAGGACGGCTTTTGTTGGAGCCGGCGGGAACCGGCGTCTCACGCGGCAGCCTCCGGACTGAATAATTTAAGGCTCGTAAGGGATCGGCCTCACAGGGAGCGCGGGGCCGCATCGCGCCCAAGCTCGGCGGCTCGGGCGGCGCCGGGCCCGGCCGGGCGGGCTCAACCGGTTTGTGGCGGCTCCGGCTCCGGCCGGCCCCGAGCGGCGGCGAAGG